TTTGTTAAGGGCATCCCATTTGTGGTATATTCTTGTCAGAGCGGCACTAGGTAACCAGAACAGCAGTCAGTAGTGGTAGCCATGCACCATCTAGTTCTTCTAGTCTAAAGCTAGAGGAGGCTGTGGTTTGTGTGGGCCGTTAGTCAGTCCTGTGGACTAATTGTTTCCTTGAGTCTTTGGTTTCCTTCATTCTCCTTTGCTACAGATGGGAAGAAACCAAGTTTGTATCTTAGATGTTTGCTTTTTCGTGTATTTTAGGTAAGAACCCCCTCTTCTTTTTATCATGCTTTTTTCCCATTCTGTGACCTGCTTTTACCCTCTTACTGGTGATTAAGAAGCCTTTTTTTATCTTCAAGATCATAAGAATGTTTTGTATGGTATCTATCTCTAATTTTTTTTAAAAAAAAGCATTTATAGCTATAAATTTCCTTTTAAGACTGCTTTAATTTCATTCCATATATTTTGATATGTTCATGTTTTTATTCATCTCAAATATTTTCTGATTTTAGTTTTGATTTAGTTTGACCCATTAGCTATTTAGGAGTACATTATTTAATTTCCACATTTGTGATTTTCCAAAATTCCCTTGTTACTGATTTTTAACTGAATTCCATTGTGGTAGGAATGGAACACCACTGGTGTTTCACATGCCAGAAGAGTTGCACATGGTGCACAGGTTTTAACGCAACTTACAGACTAAGACAGACTAGGAAGAAGGAGGAGGCCATCGACTTCTCAAAATTTGGCCAGGGAAAACCTTATGAATAGCAGAGAAACACTGTCTGATGCATTACTGGGCAACTTTATGGATAGCTCAGAAACACTGTCTGACACAGTGCAGGAAGATGAGCCCCTTGGGACAGAAGGCACTCAAAATAGGACTGGGAAAGAGCTGCCTTATCAGAGTAGAACCAACCTTAATGATATGGATAAAATAAGTCTTTCAGGACCTCCATGTGCTGAGATGGCACGACTCAAACTGAGGAAAAACAGCTGCAAAGATCCATTAATAATCGGAACATGGAATGTACGAAATGTGAATCTAGGAAAATTGGAAGTTGTCAAAAATGAAATGGAACACATAAAGATTGATATCCTAGGCATTAGTGAGCTGAAATTATGGATAACATTGAGAAGAATGGGAATTCCAGAACACTTGATTGTACTCATGAGGAACCTGTACATAGATTAAGAGGCTGTTGTTCAAACAGAACAATGTGATACTGCATGGTTTAAAATCAGGAAGGGAGTGTGTCAGGGTTGTATCCTTTTACCATACTTGTTCAATCTGTATGCTGAGCAAATGATCCAAGAAGCTGGATTATATGAAGATGAACATGGCATCAGGATTGGAAGAAGACTCATTAACAACCTACGACACACAGATGACACAACTTTGCTTGCTGAAAGTGAGGGTGACTTGAGGCATTTACTGATGAAGATTAAAGACTACAGTCTGCAGGATGGATTACATCTCAATGTAAGGAAAAAAAAAATCCACACAACTGGTCCAATAAACAGCTTCATGGTAGATGGAGAAAAGATTTATGTTGTCAAAGAGTTGACAATGGGGCCCTCCATGAAATGCACTGACACAGTGGCTGCCAACAATGGGCTCAGGTATAGCAAGGATCGTAGGGCTGGCACAGGACCAGGCAGTGTTTCGTTCTGCTGTACATGAGGTCATTATGAGTTGGAGACAACTCAATGGTACCTAACAACAACTACTCATTTTGAGTCATGCCACATCAGACAATGTTGTTGTTGTTGTTGTTTGCCGTCGAGTCGGCCCTGACTCATAGCGACCCCTCCTTGGGTTTCTGAGGCAGTATCACTACGGAAGTAGGATT